TATCTCTTAATATTCCCTGCCTCATGCTCTGATTCAGACACATTGAACTTCATTCTATTCCTCAGCATTCTAGGGTTTTGGTTTTGTATTTGCTTTTTGAGACAGGTTCTCCCTCTGTCACCCAGGCTGGAGTGCAGTGACACGATCATGGCACACTGCAGCCTCTACCTCCCACGTTCAATTGATCCTCTGGCCTCAGCCTCCTAAGGAGCTGGGACTACAGGCATGTGTCACCACACCCAGCTAATTTTTGTATTTTGTTGTTGTTGTTGTTGTTGAGATGGGGTTTCATCATTTCTACAAAAATGTCGCCACGTTGCCCAGGCTGGTCTCAAACTTCTGGCTCAAGCAATCCTCCTGCTTTGGTCTCCTAAAGTGCTGGGATTACAGGTGTGAGCCATCGTGCCTGCACAACATCCTAGGTTTTTCCTCACCTCTAGGGCTTCACACACGGTATTCTTTGGTCATAAACACCCTGACCATCGTGTCATTTCATTTGTCAGACTCCCGCATCTTCACATGGTCTGTGCTTCAGTTTTCACGCAGGAAGCTTGCCATGACCTGGAGGACAGCTCCGAGTCCTCGTGCTTCTACTGTGCCCTGCCACCCCTATTATCATGCACTTCGCACTTAATTGGAAATGCCAGTTCCCTTGTCTGGTACCTCACTAGATTCTGACAGGATGAGAACCATGGCAATTTTATTCAACATTGTATCCTCAGTCCCTAACACCATTGCTGGCACGTGGTAAGCATCGAAAAATATTTTTGCCTATATCACTCCTTTTCAGTCACATCCATCTTCTTGAATCTTAAGAATTCTCTGCGTTGCTTTATTCAAAGGTGGTACCAAACAGCATCTTTAGGGATGCCAATGCCAATGAGTTTCACTTTTAGAGCTCTGTCTTCCTCTGATTATTCAAATGTGTGTTCTCTTCCTCTTGCATTCAACATTTTTTCATAGGTTTTATGTTTCTCCTCACCTCCTCCTCCAAGGAATGGAACAGATCCAGACCTGGTGGCCACCAACAGACACACATCACATTGTCCTTGGCCTCACTCTGTCTACCTGGGTGCCTGTCAATCTCCTCTTCAAGCTGAAAAACAGACTGCAATGCCCAGCTCCCAGCTCCCTCCCATTTCCATCTACAAAGACCATTCCATGGGACATGCCCCGTCCCACTGCCGTGGGTATTTAGTTAGAATGGAAGAAATCCCAACTTCAGTCAATGCCACTTGAAACCAAGAGTCCCCAGAGCTGCCATTTTAAATGAATCCCACGGACAAGGACATAATTTTGATAATTTTAGCAGGTGTTCTTAGAACATACTTTAGAAGCCTTATTTGTGTCCTATATATTATATCAGAATTTCATCTTAAGCCAGCCTTGTGTAGAAAATTTTATAATCCTGTTAATGTCTTTGTTTTCTGCCTCTATAATCAAGAACTTACCTTTGATCTTTGGAGCACTGACCCTGTTTCTCTAAAGTCTTTTCCTCCTGAATTGGCCACTCCCAGTTTTTCTCTTGAATAAACTATTTAAAACTGGAATAAAATAAAATTGAAAATAGAAAAGTTAGCTGGGCATGGTGGCAACTACCTGCAGTCTGAGCAACTCTGGAGGCTGAGGCAGGAGGATGGCTTGAGCCTAGGAGGTTGAGACTGCAGTGAGTCATGATTTTGCATCACTGCTCTCCAGCCTGGGTGAGAGAGTGAGACCCTGTAAAGAAAGAGACACAGAGAGAGAGAGAGAGAGAGAGAGGGAGAAAGAAGGAAAACAAAGACATGCAGACTCAAGGATATTAAACTATTTCAGAACATGTGTTATTTTTCAAAACTGGAAGGTTAGCATTAACTGACAATGGCTTTCATAAATTCAAAATTCATATTCTCTCCATCAAAATCAAGGTAATTCTACATCTACTTCTCCAGCCCCAGCTTCTCACCTTCTCAGACTATAGGATGTTGTCATGCAGGTGACCTACAATCATAATATCAAAATGTTTCCCACAAGGTAGAGGAAGAAAGTGGGGGGCCAAAGAGAATAACGGCATCAGATAAAAGCAAAGGGGAATGTAGGGTGCACGTGCTGCCCTCATTCCAATCCCTGATTCCAGCAATGCCTGAAGCCTGCCCACAATGCTGCCATTCCTGAAGGCACAGGAACCACCCCATAAACTTTAAAACATGCCCTTTTGCCAAGCAAATTCAAATTGGATTTCTCCCTCATGCAACTGGGAGTCTGCACTAACACAACTGCTTTACATAATAGCATATTACTATAAAGTGGGTTGCAGATAATTTGTATAAAATTTTTTAAATCTGATATTTATATAGCACTTCACCATTTTCTAAATTGTTACACACATTATCATTTTTGGTATGCAAAAATAATTGCTTGGGATGGCTGGAACAGCATTTCCTGTCTCTGGTTTTTTCAGGCTTGTTGTTGCTGTTGTTGTTGTTGTTGTTGTTGTGTTTCTCACGGAGTTTCACTCTTGTTGCCCAGGCTGGAGTGCAATGGCACCGTCTCGGCTAACCACAACCTCCACCCCCCAGGTTCAAGTGATTCTCCTGCTTCAGCCTCCCGAGTAGCAGGGATTACAGGCTTGCACCAGCTAATTTTGTATTTTTAGTAGAGATAGGGTTTCTCCATGTTGGTTAGGCTGGTCTCGAACTCCTAACCTCAGGTGATCCACCCACCTCGACCTCTGGAAGTGCTGGATTATAGGCGTGAACCACCACACCCTGCCACTATCTCTGGTTTTAAAATAACAACAACAAAATAAGAGAATAATTTAAATTTTGCATGAGGTCACACAGCTAGTGAGAACAAAACAGGAGATGAACTCAAAGCTTCTGACTCTAAACCCAGAACTCTGGTCTTCTAATTGCTAGCCAGTGTTCCATGCACCACTTGAAAGCTATGCACATTTGTTAAACATACTAGAGACTGTCTTTTGAAAGAAAACCTTTCCACTATGTAAATAATTGCCTACTAGTTGGCCTACTTTGATTTGGTTTTCTTTTTGTTTTGAGAGAGGGTCTCTCTCCCTCTCTCTCTCTCTCTGTCGCCCAGGCTGGAGTGCAGTGACGCGATCTCGGCTCACTACAACCTCCACCTCCCGGGTTCAAGCAATTCTGTCACCTCAGCCTCCCAAATAGCTGGGATTACAGGTGCCTGCACCACATCTGGCTAATTTTTATACTTTTATAGAGATGGGATTTCACCATGTTGGCCAGGCTGGTCTTGAACTCCTGACCTCAAGTGATCCACCCATCTAGGCCTCCCAAAGTGCTAGGATTACAGGCATGAGCCACTGCACCAGGCCAAGTTGGCCTACTTTGCAAATGTGATTTTTAAAAATAGTATTACCCTAATATAAGGGATACCCGGGCTGCAATTATTTCACTTACTAGAAGCTAATGAAGAATTAGTGACACCTTGTGGTTTCATCAGGCGAAGCAGGCAGGAATTCAGAGTTTCTGGGTCAAGGCTTGCACATGGAGGCCTGACAAAAACCTCATATGCTTAACTGCTTCTTATGTCACAAGGTTTCTATCAGACATTACCTTCTCAGGCCTTTTCTACTACTTAATTGAAGGCAGCCACTCGTGCCCACCGCTCCCCCACCACCAGCCACCACAAAGCTTTTGTTTTGTTTTCACCAAAGCTTTTATCATTCCATAAAAATTTTCTTTTTTTCTTTGGTTTATTTGCCTATTATCTACTTCCCTAGATAGGACAAAAGCTTTATCTAACCCAAGCTCTTACAATATTTCTCAGTACAAGGAAGGCGCTTAGCGTCTGTTAAATAATGAACTATCGTTAAGTTCTCCCTTGCATTCTCTTGCTGACATGGTTTGGATCTGTGTCCCCACCCAAATCTCATGCCAAAGGGTAATCCCCAATGTTGGAAGTGGGCCTGGTGGGAGGTGACTGGATCATGGACGTGTTTTTCATGAATGGTTTACTGCCATCCACTTGATACCGTCCTCAGGATGGTGAGTGAGTTCTTGCAAGACCTGGTTCGTTTTGTTGTTGTTGTTTGAGGCATCTCACTCTGTTGCCCAGGCTGGAGTACAGTGGTGTGATCTCGGCTCACTGCCACCTCTGCCTCCCGGGTTCAAGTGATTCTCCTGCCTCAGCATCCCGAGTAGCTGGGATTGCACGTGCCACCATGCCCAGCTAACTTTTGTATTTTAGTAGAGACAGGGTTTTACCATGTTAGCCAGGCAGGTTTCGGACTCCTGACCTCAAAGGCTCTGCCCGCCTTGGCCTCCCAAAGTGCTGGGATTACAGGCATGAGCTACCAAGCCTAGCCAAGATCTGGTTGTTCAAAAGCATGTAGCACCTCGCCTTCTCCCTCTTGCTCCTGCTCCTGCCATGTAAGACATCTCACTCCCCCTTTGCCTTCCATCATGATTAGAAGCTTCCTGAGGCCTCCCCAGAAACAGATGCCGCCATACTTCCTGTACAGTCTACAGAACCATGAGCCAATAAAACTGCTTTTCTTTGTAAGTTACCCAGCCTCGGGTCTTTCTTTATAGCAATATGATAACAGACTAATACATTTACCTATACTAAAAAAACATTTCCGAAGCCATAGCCATACACTCACCTTTTTCACACTTAAATGGAAAATAGGCTGCTGCTTCTTTTCTTGGATAAATTGTATACCACTGCTATTCATTCATTCAAAGAACTATTACAACCAAACATTAAGTGATATGGTAGAGCTACAAATACAAATGGAACATGATCCCTACCCTCAAGGAACTCATGGCCTAGTGGAAACAAACATGTTAGCGAATCATTATAAAAACCAAGTGGCAAGTAAAAGATAGAGTTGTGGCTGCAGACTGTACGAACCCAAGTTAGAATAATCAGAAACGCCTTCCTGCAGAAAACAACAGGAGCTGAGATTTAAAAGAGGAGAAGAAAGAAAATCCAGGAAAGAGACAAGGAAAAAGCATAAAGCACAAACACATTGTGGAAACATGACAGCTTGTGCAGTGGGACTGCAAGCGCTCAGCTCTGCTGAGAAAAAAGTACCAGGCAGAAATTAGTGAGATGCCAGGTAGTGGCAGCCTTATAGCATAGTTAAGAAACTTGAACTCATTAGGCAGTGGGTTGTGGAACAAGCATGGTCAAAGCTGCATTTCTGTTAGATTGTTTTATGGTTCCAGAGATGATCCAATTTAGATTATGGGGTTGGAATGCTGAGGTCAAAGGCTGGTAGGACTTGGAAGGATACAAAGAGGACCCAGAATCAAGAAACACTGAGGAAGTAAAATGGACAGGATTTGGTGATTATTAGGATAGGGAGAATGAGGGGAGGGGGAACAAGCAAAAGTGGCAAGAAATGAGGAATTTGGGAGTGGGAAGATGAGCATCATAAGCTGAAGCTTTCTTGCGTAAGTTCTAGAGTACAGTAGTCAAGGGCTTAAGTCTTGGTCCTGTCACTTGCTTGCTATATGACTTTGGTAAGTTACTTTAACTTCTCTAAATTTCAGTTCCTTGTAAATTAAATGGGAATACTATCAGAATCTACCTCATTGTTAGACTGAGACTTATAATAACTAAATGAAATTATGTATGTAAAGTGCTTAACATAGTGCCTGCTACACATCAGAAACACCTATTGATTAAAGAATTTTAATATGGCCAGGCATGGTGGCTCACGCCTGTAATCCCAGCACTTTGGGAGGCCAAGGCGGGCAGATCACAAGGTCAAGAGATGGAGACCATCCTGGCCAACATGGTGAAACCCCGTCTTGAAAAAAAAAGAATTTTAAAATGATTATCTGACTATGTCTGTGGCCATATATCTACCTTTTCTATTCTTACTATGGATGAACTGTCCATGTTTCTAGGCAAGACCAATCCCTCTACTTGTACACAAGAGCCTGTCCCTTTTTGCCAAAGTCATTCCACCAATTCTTCCCTCCCTCCCACACCATCCATTCCATCCTCTCTCCTGAATCACTTCTATAAACATATACACATACAGTCAATTCTCCTATTAACATATATTAAACCTTTTCTTGACTCAGTTTCCCTTTAACTACCAACCCATTTCTTTTTTCTTTCCTTGAGTCATAAATCGCTCTTCTCCCACTCTTTTCAGGATCCATTGTAACTGAACTTTTTTTCTATAACTTTATAAAAGTTGCCTGTTTTCAGATTGCCAATGACTTCTATGTTGCTAGGCCCCCATGTTGCTTGGCACATGTATAGCATTAGATATAGCTGATTACTCCTTTCTCCTTGAAACACATTCATTACTTCACTCCCAGATGACCAAACTTTCTGCAATTTCTACCATTTCTTTGGCCTCTTTTGCAGTCTCCTTTGATGATTATTCCTCATCTTTCAAAACTCTAAAATATTGGAATGCTCCAGGCCTTATCTCTCTACACTCCCTCGGTAACCTTATCAAGTATCATGGCTGTTGACTCAAAAATCCACCTCTCTAAACCAGACCAGTCTCCTGAAACTCTAGACTCTGTGTCCCGTTGTCTACTCAACATCTCCACTTGGATGAGTAACATGCCTTCTAAGTTTAATGTGCCCCAGACCAAACTGCTAATGCTCACCCCAATAATGGCTCCTCCCCAGCATTCCCTATATCACTAAATGGCAACTCCATTCTTCTAAGTGCTCTAATCAACAACCTTATCATGACCCTCTAGCTATAACTGAATAGTTTAAATTAAACCAGTTCTCTCATGGGAATAAGTATAATAGCTGAACATTTTAAAAAGCACACATAACAAAAATTACACAGGCCATTTGAAGGCACTGGAGAGCAACCAAGATGGTCAGGACATGAGAGACTGGGATCCCAGAGAGAAGATAGATACGTAAAGTGATACAGAACTCCATTGCTTTCTCTTATTGGGGCATTTGCTGAGTTTTGTGTAGGGCATTTATGGCGAGCAGAAAGCAGTGGCCTAGAGGTATCAGGAACCTTTCAGATATGGGGAGATACATAATTGGAGTTGAAAACTGCTGACAGGACTCGAAGGGACAAGATCCCAAAGAAAGGAGGATCATAGAAAAGCCAGTCTGACATTTTGATCGGTTTTTATCCTTGAGGTATTTGCTGAATTCTAAGCTGTAAAGGCACTGGAAATCGAGAAACCAAAGAGTTGCTAAATAGCTAAAATGCTAAGTGTATATTCCAGCAGTCTCACAGGGCTGGGAGTATAAAAATTGGAGTTCATAGTCACCCAAAGATGGAACCCTATTAAATACCCCGGATGTTCATGTTGAGAAAGAATAGAAAGGCCTTGCTCTGGGATAAGACCAAACCAGAAAATAATCAGCCCTCACAAAATCTGAAACCCTGATTAAAGGTCATCTGCTGCTACTCTAATTGCCTGCCAGAATAAAATTAAATCCTTTCTGCAGAAAGACAACATCAGCCATAGTCTCTATGCAGTTTTTGTTTGTCTGTGTGTGTGTTTTTGTTTTTGTTTTTGCCAGAGACTCTGCGATTTTTTTGCCTGCACAATGTCCAACACACCGTCATTTCGTTATTATAACAATCCCAGTCTAACAATGAGGAAGATTCTGAGCAGAAACCTGAGCATCATCTCTTATGCCTTTCTTTCTCTTGTGCACCATGTCACATCCAATCTGTTCTACCTTCAAAACTGAGCTGCGATCTAATCACTTCACACCACTTTGAGCCCAGATCCAAACCACTGTCACCAGCCTTACTGGGAGCAGCCTCCTATCTGGTCTCTCTGCTTCTGCCTTTGCCCAACCTCAGTCTATTCTCAATCAAGCAACTAGAAAATAAAATTTTGAATCAAATTATGTCAAGCTTCTACTCAACACCCTTCAGGGACTTTTAACCCTAGAGTAAAACCTAAAGTCCTTGGACTGGCCTACAATGCACATAGCCCAGCCTCTGACTTCACCTCAAATGCTCTTCCTTGTACTCACTCTGCTCCACTTACTCTTACTCCCATCCCCAATATGTCTTCCTGCCTTAGAACTCTGCAATGGCTGCTTCCTTGACCTGGAAGTCTGTGCCAATTAGTCTCAAGTTTCATTTCTTTACCTCCTTCATGTCTTTACTCAAATGTCACCTTCTCAATGAAGCCTCCTCTGACCACTATAAAATTGCTAGGTCTCCTACGCCCCTAGCAGCTAGCCTTCTTTCCTGCTTTATTTTTCTCCTTAGCTGTTATAATTATCTAACATACATGATATACTCACTTCTCTTGTTTGTATGACTCCTCCGCTAGCATAAAAATTCTGTTAAGGCAGGAGTTTTAATCTGCTGTTTGTTTTTGTTTTTCACTGCTATATCCTTACTAACACCAGGGGAGTGGGACAAGAAAAGAACAGTGGTTGGCACATACTAGATACTCATAACTATTCGTTGAATGAATCATTCAGTTTCTGATCATCCAAGAGTTGTCCAGAAAACAGTCAGATATCCAGGGCTGTCACCTGAGGGAGAAGTCTAGGTTAGAGATACATACTTTGCTGTCCTGAATATCTAAATGGTAGTAGAAATTACAGCTGTGAAATGGGACGGCCTTGGGAGGAAGCAGAATAAGAGAAACAGGCTGTGGACAAAAACTTGTACAGGAACCTATAGCGGCTATCAATTTCTTTATAAAGTTCACTGTGGTTGGTATAACACTATTGGTTACCCATTCAATACCCATTCTATTCTGCCCCAACATCCTTCTAACAGAATTTGTTCTTCTCCTCCCTGGCCAAGTGTTTATTGGAGGTCCATAAAGACGGGTTACCTGGTCTAATCCAAATATGGTGATCTTACATAGAGCCTAAGCTTAAATCAATGATATGATGTAATCCTGGTCACTTGGGAGTTTACAAGGGGGCTTTGCTCTTCCAATAAAGACAAAAGAGAAGATACTTCTATTACTACCTTGTCAAAGCCAACAACACAGGTGACAGAGTGGAAATGTGAGGGAAAAAAATGTGCTGTTGATAATGTGCTGAGCCCCCCCAAGTTAACATCCAGATTAACCAACCTGGGAGTGTGAAATAATGAATTCCTTATTATTTTAGCCACCTGGAATTGGTTTTCTGTTACTTGAGGGAAAAAACATTCTAATTAATATGCTAGTGTTTAGTGTTTCCACGATGTGGCGCCAGCCTTTGTTTCTGTTGATATTTCTACAACTCATCTATACAAATCCTGCTTAGTTCTCCAAATGCACCTTGGGCTTTTTGAGCCCTTGATCAAGCCATTCTGAATGCACTTCCCCCAAGAGGTTGGCCCGTTAAAATACTATCATTCATCAAACACGATTTAAATGTCACTTGCTCCTCTAGCCCCTTCAGAAGTTACCTCAAGGCCAGTTGCTCAGGCTTGTAATCCCAGCACTTTGGGAGGCTGAGGTGGGTGGATCATGAGGTCAAAAGATCGAGACCATCCTAGTCACATGGTGAAACCCCGTCTCTAGTAAAAATAGAAAAATTAGCTGGGCATGGTGGCGCATGCCTGCAGTCCCAGCTACTCAGTAGGCTGAGACAGGAGAATTGCTTGACAGAGGTTGTTGTGAGCCAAGATCGCACCACTGCACTCCAGCCTGGGTGATAGGGCAAAAATAAGAAAGGGAAGGACGGAAGGAAGGAGGGAAGGAGGGAGGGAGGGAGGGAGGGAGGGAGGGAAGTAGGGAAGGAAGGAAGGAAGGGAGGAAGGAAGGAAGGAAGGAAGGAGAAAGGAAAGGAAAAAGAAAAAGAAATTACCTCAAAATTAACTGATCAGACCTAAAATCTTTTGGCAGTGTTTTTACCTCTAGAATTTACCATACACCTTTATGTTAGCGTTACTTACAGAATGCCTACATCTGCTTGAGGACAGACACTTCAAAGCAGAGAACAGATACAGATCTTAATGTAAAGGATTACCATTTACGAGGCACAGCTCTAAGTGCTAACAGTTTTAATCCTCAGAACAAAACCTGAAGAGAGAAATTCTTCTATTTCCACTACGTGGATTCGGAAAATGAAGCACGGAAACACTTAACTTGCCTGAGGCTACAGAGCTAGTACATTACAGAACCTGGATTCAAATCAAGACAGTTATCTAAATTGAAGGTGTAACTGCAAATGCAAATAACTCATCACAAGGGATACACACACTTCACTCATACAAGATACAAGATTTTTAACACTGCTGGTACGAAAGCCAAAGCGTCTGCGTTTTTAAGCGCAGCCTCGCCCGGCGATACCAGGTTTATTCTTCAGAGCCTGGGGCCTGATAGATTAAGGCACGGGGGAACTATGCCTTTATATTTTTTCAAGACTCAATAAACTGCCCACTTCTTTCTCAAAATGAGCGTCTGTGGGGGCGGCCCTTGTCGCTCCGTGTGTCAAGGGTCCTCCGACTGCTAGCACACAGCGGCGAGCAGAGAAGGCAGGGGAGGAACTGCACAGACTCGGCTGCGGAGGGCGGCGGCGGCCCGCCCCTGGGGCGGGAAAAGCGGAGGTGCCGGGAGACACCTTGAAGCCCTTCCCCGCCCGGGCACGTAACAGAGCTGGAAGCCCGGCTGCCAGGGACGTGTCGTCGCAGCGCCAGCCTGGGAGCGCTGCGGCGCGGCGGCAGGAGAAACAGCAGAGGAAGCCCTGGAAGAGCAGGAGCACGTGGGCCTGAGAGAATGGCGCCAACACCAGCCCTGCAAAGCCACATTCCAAAGCGGGGCCGGTGACAGCCACCGTGGCCCCGCAGGCCTCAGAGAAGACGGTCAAGCCAGCCAAGGCCGCGTCCCTGGCCAGGGGACTCCCAACGCGCAGGCGCACCTGCCGGGGAGGTGCAGCTGGGCGGAGTCAAGAGCCGGAAGTGCCTAGCGCCGCAGCCCCTCCCGGGAAACCAGCGGACCGGAACTCCCCGGAGTTCCCGCCCCCAGACAGAGCCCCGGGTTGCTGGGCAACCGATGCGGCCACTGCAGCTGGTCTCTGCTTTGCTGGGAACAAGCCCGGTGTAGCTCCCACCTCCGGCGCCGGTAACCTCCCGTCCCGCCCACCTCCCTTATTGTCGCCTCTCCTCCCGTCGCGGAATCCTTGCCCTTGGCACTACTTGCATCTCTCCGGGTCCCACGACACCTTAGCGCCCACCTGCTTCAAAGCCAAGCTCCACCGAAAGCGAGGTGTTCTGCCCCCGGACATGGCCTCGACGCTGACTGACAGCACCTCTCGGGCCCCGGGCACCTACACCTACACCTACACCAGCCGGCCTCGGGCACTGCCCTGCCAGCGCCGCCGTTACCGGGACAGCCTGACGCAGCCGTGAGTGTCCAAGCCAGCCTCTGTGTGATCCCTACTTGCACCCATCCCCGGGGTCTTCGCCCTGGCAAGGGCTGCTCATGCTGTCTTTCCTTGGCCTCACTCTGCCAAAATAAACGTTCTGCCCTAAGGAATCTCCCGTGGTGTGGAGGAGTGAAGCAAGAAGGGGCACAGGTTGGGCATCAGCTAACTTTTAGTGTTACTGAGTTGCTGCCATGGTCCTTAACATGTACACGAATCGGCTCATTTTAAAAAATGTGCATTGTGTGTATTGAGGGCCAACTATGTGCTGGGCACCTTGCTGGGGGCATTCAAATACGTTTTCTTACTTAATCCACAGTGATGTGTTGGTTTTACAACTCCGTTATGCAGATGAGGAAACTGCGGTGCAAAAATACCCAGCAATAGCACATCCAAAATGGGAGCCGAGGAAATCTCTTCTACAGGCCTTGAGCAGGAATAAGATTATTCTTCCATGCAGGACCACAGATTGTTTGTGTATGTGTATGTTTTGGTGGCCGTGGCGGTGGCAGTGGCGGTGATGGTGGTGGTGTTTTAAGATGGAGTTTCCCTCTTTTAGCCCAGGGTGGACTGCAGTGACGCGATCTCCACTCACTGCAACCTCCGCCTCCCAGGTTGAAACGATTCTCCTGCCTCAGCCTCTATTCTCCTGCCTCAGCCTCCCGAGTAGCCAGGACTATAAGCACATACCACCACGCCCTGCTAATTTTTGTATTTTTAGTAGAGACGGGGTTTCGCCACGTTGGCCAGGCTGGTCTCAAACTCCTAGCCTCAAGTGATCCTCCCGCCTCAGCCTCCCAAAATGCTAGGATTACAAGCGTAGCCACCACGCCCGGCCAACAAATTGTATTTTTACGTGGATGAATAGTTGCAAATATTCAAACATATTTAGAGAAAAAAAAAAAAAAAAAAAAACCATAAACTCTTAAAGTTCACTTAAAGTTAAATGGTTCTCTAAAGTTCTTTCCATAAGCCTCAAATGCTGAATTCGGCAGAACTTTATAGGAATGCAAGCTCCGTGGATGCAGCAACCTTTGCATCCAGAGCAGCTGGGATTATAGGCGCACACCACTAGGCCCGGCTAATTTTGTAGGGTTTCATCATGTTGGCCAGGCTGGAAAATTTTATTAACATTTTAACTAGTAACTTTAAAAATATATTTGGGTTTAAAGAACAATGAGAAAATTGACCTAATTCTTAAGCCTGATTCTTTTATTAGTGTAACTTTTCAGTCTTCGTACAAGGTTTTTCAGTCCTTTAAAGAAGGCCCCTTTTCTTTTTTTTTTTTGAGACGGAGTTTTGCTCTTGTTACCCAGGCTGGAGTGCAATGGCGCGATCTCGGCTCACTGCAGCCTCCGCCTCCTGGGTTCAGGCAATTCTCCTGCCTCAGCCTCCTGAGTAAATGGGATTACAGGCACGCGCCACCATGCCCAGCTGATTTTTTGTATTTTTAGTAGAGATGGGGTTTCACCATGTTGACCAGGATGGTCTCAATCTCTTGACCTCGTGATCCACCCGCCTCGGCCTCCCAAAGTGCTGGGATTACAGACTTGAGCCACCGCCCCGGCCTAAGAAGGCCCCTTTTCAAATGGGCCATTTTCATATTTATTGAAGTCAGGTAGATTTACAACCTAAATCTGGCTCTGCCACTTACTAGCAAGGTAACCTTGGGCAGATTCCTGAGTCTGTTTCCCCTTCTGAAAAAGGAATATAATTCCCAACTTGTAGCTTATTGTGAATAATAAATTAAAAAAAGTACTTGTATTTTCATCTTAGTTTAGATCCTGTTGAAAATGAGTTACTTCATAGATACCAATACTCTGTTAAAGTGGCTATACAGAATTTTCTGTTTTACAGAGATGAAGAACCTATGCATTATGGAAACATAATGTATGACAGAAGGGTAATTCGAGGCAACACTTACGCACTCCAGACCGGGCCACTGGTAAGTTCAGTTTGAATAGTCTAACACTGCGTTTTCACATTGTCTTTGGGGAAGGATCAGTTTGTTTGTTTGTTTGTTTGTGTTAATTTCTAATCCATTGCAGAGTAAAACATTCATAAAATAAAGATGAATTACTACAAAAATGAAATTTTAAAAAGACATACAAGTAGAGCCTGATGACAGTTTCCAGGAGCTGAAGGGTGAGGGGAACAGGGAAGGAGTTATCATTTAATGAGTGTAGAGTTTCAGTTTTGCACGATGAAAAGAGTTCCAGAGATAAGAGGATGGTGACAGTTATAGAACAATATGAATGTAATTAATGCCACTGAATTTTACACTTAAAAATAGTTAAGGTGATAATTTTTACATTATGTGCATTTTACCACAAAAAAAAAAAAAAAAAAAGAATTAACTAGGTTGGGTGCAGTAGCTCATGCCTGTTATCCCAGCACTTTGGGAGGCCAAGGTGAGTGGATCACCTGAGATCAGGAGTTCGAGACCAGCCTGGCCAACATGGTGAAATCCCATCTCTACTGAAAATACAAAAATTAGCCAGGCGTGGTGGCAGGTACCTGTAGTCCCAGCTACATGGGATGCTGGGGCAGGAGAATCACTGGAACCTGGGAGGCAGATGCTGCAGTGAGCCAAGACCGTGCCACTGCACTCCAGCCTGGGTGACAGAGCAACACTCCATCTCAAAATAAATAATAAAATAATTTTAAAAAGAATTAACTAAGAAAAAGCCTTAATTTTTTCATTAGATTCAACAAAACTCTGCCATTCTAAACCTTTCTAAACTTTTATTCTCAATTTCTATAAATTGTTACAGACCATTTCAAGTAGTTCACAGATACACTAGCCAGAGGCCCACATTTTGAGTAGCACTGGTCTAATCCATCTAGATTTGTTTAGATCACCTCATACTCTAATACAATTATCATTATTTAATCAAAAAGTATGAATTCTGCTTCTGTAATTCACTCAACAATTATTTATTGAGTTTTAGGTCCTGTTCTGGGTACTTAGGATGCTGAGATGAGTAAGACATGGTATGATATTAAGGGTGGTGAGTTCTTGGCACAGAAATGAAATATAGGTGAATTTATAAACAGTGTATGACATATAAGTGCCTAATACAAGATGGCGATAGAGATGCTCCTCTATTTACAATGAGGTTATGTCCCCAATAAACCCACTGAACATTGAAAATGTATTTAAAACACCAAACCTGCTAAACACCATAGCATAGCATAATCTGCCTTAAATGTGCTCAGAGGCCAGGAGTGGTGGCTCACGCCTGTAATCCCAGCACTTTGGGAGGCTGAGGCGGGCAGACTGCTTAAACCCAGGAGCTTGAGACCCCCAGCCTGGGCAACATGATAAAACCCCGTCTCTACAAAAAATAAAAATAAAAACCCACAGAAATTAGCTGGGCGTGGTGGCACGCACCTGTAATCCCAGCTACTTGGGAGGCTGAGACAGAAGAATTGACTGAGCCCAGGAGGACAAGTCTGCAGTGAGCTGTGGTCACGCCACTGCACTCCAGCCTGGGTGACAGAGGGAGACCCTGTCTCTAAAAACAAAACCAAAAATACAACCTAGAATGTTGAGGAATTGAGGGAAGTTCAATATGAATGAATTAGAGCCTGAGGCAGGGAGTATCAGGAAATAAGTGATTAAAAAAAAAAGTAAAGATGAGTAATAGCACTCAAATCCACATTAGAGAGAATGTTGTTGAATGTTTAATGAGGGATGTGAAGAAGCCACCTAAGGAATATTTTCAGAACAAGACCCTGTCTCAAAAAAAAAAGTGCTCAGAACATTTATATTAGCCTACAATTGGGAAAAATCTAACATAAAGCCTATTTTATAATAAAATATTGACTATCTTATATAATTTATTAAATATGAAAGTGAAAAACATAATGGTTGTATGAGCACATTTTCTGTGGATACTTTTCATCATCATAAAGCTGAAAAATCATAAAAAATATGATGGGGAACATCTATTAGTCTTGTTGCAGGATGAGCCACAGACAAAACCCCTCAGACACCGGAGTAAGGAAACAAGTGACGTTATTCAGCTGTGGAGCCTCAGCAGACTTACGTCCCAAAAACCGAGCTCCCCGAAGAGCAGTTCCTTTCCCTTTGTATGGGCTTCTAACTCTAAAGGGAGAGCGAAGGTGAAACCGTGTTATAGCCCATTGGCTGGGCATTGACCTCACAGTTGTTGTCTTTCATTGATTCACTAATTCATATTTGGTGCACGCGGGAAGGAAGAAAGGGGAAGGGTTATAGCAAACTTGGAGAAGTTGAACAAAGGTAGTTAATCATTCTGTAATAGAATTAACTTAAAGTGGAGGAGTGAATTGGGCAAGCATGGAGTAAGTGACTAAAGGCAGGTTCTTGTGCAGCCATGGCAGGAAAGAACATTTCTTTGTTACATTCTTAAGGTTTACAGATAACATAGGCACCAGTTTTGGAAGGGGGAGTTATCTTTCCTAACTCTCAGGCCCCAGTGGGGCAGAGCCAGTGAGGTTAGCTGGCCCCCTGACTGCTGACTTCAGCTCTTTACATTTTATCTTTTACTCCCGTCCCTAGCAAGCAACAGGCAGGAGAGTAATGGCTTCTCTCTTTAGTCTGAAGCAATGGTTAACTTATTAAACATATATATATGCTTCAACCCTATCCTGGATCTCCTGCATTAGAACGTCCAGGGGTTTCCTGCTTCCCCCACTGAGATGATATCAGCAAGGGTGGAGCAAGAAGCTGAACTTTCACCTTCACCCACCAGCAATGAGGTAGTAGGAGATGGCACAAGTCAGTGCCCCACTCTTTCTGGGGTGGTGTCAGCAAATCCAGTGGGTAGCTGAATTGCAGTCCTATCAGGCAGTAATGAGGTGGCATGAGGCAGTGCTAGTCAGTGCTGCACTCCCACCCCCCCAACACCAGTGTCAGCAGAGCCTAGCAAGGAGCTGAACTACCACCCCCACCTGGCACCAATGTGCTGGTACAAGTTGACCCACTGCTTTTGTTGAGATGGTGTCAGTGGGGCCCAGCAGGGATTTGAACTTCCAGCCCCACAGACTTGTGCACTAAAACAAAAAGGGCAATTTCCTACTGAAAGATTAAATAGAATCCAAAGTATTACAATATAATACCTAAAATAGCCAGGATACAAACAAAAGTCATTCATCATACAAGAATCAGGACAGTTACAACTTGCATGGGAAAAGACAAGAAATGACAAAACCAGGATGATTCAGATGTGGGAATTACCTGATGAGGATTTTAAAGCAACAATCAAAAATGTTTCAATGAAAAGTGAATAATTACAGACACTCTTGAAACAAATGAAAAAAAAAATCTTAGCAAAGAAATACAAGATACAAAAGTGAACCAAATGGAAACTTATAGAACTGAAAAATACAATAACCAAAATAAAAAACTCACTAGATGGATGCAGTAGTACATTGGAGATGACACAGGAAATAATCAGTGAACTTGAAAAAAAATCAATGAAGAATGGAAGTTATCCAGCTGAACAGAGAGAAAATAGACCACCACCACCCCCAAACAAAAAAAGAGCCTGAGAGAGCTGCAGAACAATCACAAAGATTTATATTCATGTTGTTGGAATCCTAGAAGGAGAGAAGGAAAAGTATGAGGTGGAAAAATATTTGAAGAAATCATGCTTTAAAATTCCACAAATTTGTCAAAAGACCTACAGATTCAAGAAGCCAAGTGACCTCCAACAGGATAACCCCAAAGAAATCTACCCAAGACATGCCAAGATCAAACTTTTGAAAATTAAAAGCAAAACATTTTGAAATCAGCCAGAAAGAAATTACTTGTTAGCTAAAGGAGAACAATGATTTAAATGGCAGTGGATTTCTTACCTCAAACATGGAGACAACAAGAAAGTGGCACAATATTTTTCAAGTCTTTAAAGGAAAGAACTATCAAGCTCTAATTCTAATCCAGTGAAAATATTTTTCAGTAGTTCTAAAATGGCAGCATAGAGGCAGGCTGGCTTCACTCCCCATACAACAGGAAACCAAGAACAAATGTACAGTGCCAAAATTATCACCAGCAATATTCTAGAGCTCAAGTAGAAGGAGGATGCAGTTCCCAGGGCTACAGAAAAGTGAAAAAGCTCCAAAGAGATGGTAGGAGAATCAGACTTTCATATCTACAACACCTCTCCTTCTAGTCTACCTGGCGCTAAGGACATGGAGGATTGTATTAGTCCTCTAGAAGGACAGAACTAATGGAATAGATATATGTGTATAAACCACCCTTTATATACGTACATATGTATATACACACACACATATATATATACATATACGTACACACATACATACACATATGTGTATAAAGGGGAGTTTATTAAGTATTAAATCACATAATCACAAGGTCCCACAATAGGCCATCTGCAGGCTGAGGAGCAAGGAGAGCCAGTCCAGGTTCCAAAACTGAAGAACTTGGAGTCTGATGTTCAAGGACAGGAAGCATCTAGCACAGGAGAAGGATGTAGGCTGGGAGGCTAGGCCAGTCTCTTTTTTTCACATTTTTCTGCCTGCTTATATTCTAGCCACTCTGGCAGCTGATTAGATTGTGCCCACCCAGATTAAGGGTGGATCTGCCTTTCTCAGCCTACTGACTCAGATGATAATCTCTTTTGGCAACACCCTCAGACTTATCTAGGATCAACACTTGGTATCCTTCAGTCCAATCAAGTTGACACTTAGTATTAACTAACCATCACAAGGATTTATCTTTGACTTGTGATTTCTGCACTGGAAAAAGTAAGGTCAACGCAGACAACTAGTTTCCCTACCATGTTGGGTTCCCTGGCAGGAGATTCAACCCACAAGAAGTGTCATGAGTTCCAGAAGGGAGAAATACCCTAGTACAGCCAGAGACAAAATGGGGAGGTGAGACTACCATCCCTGGCCCCAGACACCCTGCCGTATAACTCAACCAAAGGAAACACC